GTATTGAGTTAACTTGAGAACCTAAAAAAGGGACAAGAAGAAATAAGGAACTTTCATTGGCAGCTTTCATTAAAAAAAGTGAAGACAAATGGATAGTCTCTGCAATCAAGAGCTACAATGCTTACGAGTATTTATAGTCATATTGGTAAACAACTTGGCATATATTTGCAGCTGGTACAAGTTTAAAGTAACAGGTAGAAGACTGAAGCTATAATTGGTCAGATTTCAGCTGATAAAAGATGATTTATCATACAAAAACAAAACATTGGTAAGCAATTCCCACAGCAAAAACAATCAAACAACGTAACAAACTCCAGGCTGAATAACAGAACACAATAACCAGATTTTGGAGGTCTTCTATTCCAACCCCCTACTCAAACAGGAGATTTTATACCATTTCAGACAAATGACTCTCCAAACTCTTAAACTTTTCCAGTGATGGAACACTCACAACTTTTGAAGGCAAGCCGTTCTACTGATTAATTGTTCTAACTGTCAGGAAATTTATCCTTAGTTCTAGGTTGGTTCTTTCTTTGATTAGTTTCCATCTATCGCTTCTTGTTCTGCCTTCAGGTGCTTTGGAAAATAGGTTAACCCTCTTAGATATTATCTGTTATGTCACTCTATACCTTTTCATTAAACTAGACATACCCAATTTCTACAACCATTCTTCGTATGTTTTAGCCTCCAGTCCCCTAATCATCTTTTTTGCTCTTCTCTGCACTCTTTCTAGAATCTCAACATCTTTTTTTGATATTGTGATAACCAAAACTGGATGCACTATTCCAAGTGTGGTCTTCCAAGGCGTTATAAAATGATATGAATACTTCACGTGATCTTGATCCTATCCCTCTGTTAATGCAGCCTAGGACTGTGTTGGCTTTTTTGGCAGCTGCAGCACACTGCTGGTTCATATTTAAATGATTGTCCAGAAGGTCTAAAACAGGGGTGTCAAACTCAATTTCATTGAGGGCTGTGTCAGCATTTTGGTTGCCCTCAGGGGCCTGGGTGGGTGTGGCAAGGATGGGTGCAGCCTACTGGGTGGGCGTGGATGGAGTGGGTGTGGCCTACTGGGCGGGCGTGGCCAGCTCTACATCATTCGCATCAAGGTTGTCTGTGGGGGCCTGGGCAGGAGTGGGACAGATCTGAGGGTCTCTGGCAGAAGGGGGTGGGACCAGGGCAAGTGCCAAGGCATGGTCCACTGGAGGAGCCTCACTGTTCCTCTCAGGGGGGGCTGGATGGTGGGTGTGGGCTGCCTAGAGCCCTGGGCAGTAGAGGTCAAATGCCCAGCCTGGCCCTTGAGCACCTGCAACACCAAGCCCAGCCCCACTTCCTGAAGGCTGCTGCTCAAGGTTCCTCACTTTTCCAGACAGCCTTGTGGAGCTAAGACTGAATGTGTTTCAGCATAGATGGCCACCACAAAGTTGTACATTGGCTCCCGGCTGGCCTGGGCAAGGACCAAGGCAGTGGGGGCTGTTCCCTCACTGTTTCCAGGATGGCTTTGCATGCCACATGAAACCACTTTGCGGGCCACATCCGGCCCCTGGGACTTGTGTTTGACATGACTGGTCTAAAAGATCCCTTTTGCAGTTACTGCTGTTGAGTTAGATACCACCAATTCTATACCAATGCATTTGATTTTTCTTGCCTAAATCTTACTTTTTTTCACCATTGAACTATTTTTGTTAAATAGGGCTCAGTATTCAAGTCTGTCAAGATCCTTCTGGATCTTGAGCCTATGTTCTGCTAAGAATAGCAGACCCAAGCAAGAAATATAAAACTTATTCTGCATACTGAAGTTGATATATGGCTTTGAAGCCTTGCTAAACCCTAAAGAAAAGAGGCTTTGGGCCTTCAAGAGAAGGAAAAGAAACATTGTAGAACAGAAAATATAGGAAGTCCTTGACTTACAACCACAATTGAAGAGCTTTGTTTTCCAAAGGAAAAAAAAGAGGGGATGCTCAGAAGTTGCTAACAGGTGATAGTTGAGTATACTCCACATTCTCCAATATTTCCCCCCTGACCATGGTTTTTTTCTTGCAAGCAAACCTTCCTTTTGTAATTATTAAAATTATAATATATTCCTTTAACATTCAGCATCAGGAAAGTAAGTAAGGAACTTTCTCTTCTTTCTATCTGTATATACACACTCAAAACACATACGCACTATAACCTACCCTTTTCTTTTGTATTAAACTGGAAGGTTCAAATAAGTATATGTCTTACATGTTAATTGCTTCCATGCACCTTTCCACTGGACAACGTCTGCAATTTTACAAGTGCTAATCAGGATGGGATGGGAAGAATTCAGGGTATGAATTGAGGGGCTATACTGACAGAACAGTTGCAGAAGCTCAGTGAATATCTTATAAATCTATTGGCTGGGTTTTAATAATAAAGACCTCTTATGCTCTCTTTTCCATTGTGCACTATTGTAGTGTCACTGCAGCAGATTTGGCAAGAAGGAGTAAGGGTGTGGTCTACTTTTTATCTCTTTGCAAATAAAATATAAAATTCTATCACATTCCTACTTACAGTTGTTAACAAAGATTGTATACTGGATTATTATGCTGTAAATTCCTCCATGCTTTAGAAAAGTTTTACTATTAAACAAGCTGTTGCAATTTGAATGTAGTCACTTTCTCCTTGAGCCCTTGCAACTTATCATTCTCACTTCAAGCTTTTTATCTATTTGGAATATAGATAAAAGAATACAAGCTCCTTAAACTGCAAAGAGGAAGATGAATAACAGCATGATAGAAACACCTGACTAAGAATATGTTTGGCAAAAGATAAATTATCAAAATTCCCAAATTATAGATAAGAGGTGTCATCAAACATCCTTTAAGTGTTGTTTGGTAGCAATGATATAAATATCTTTACTTGTGTGTCAACTGAGTTGTGATCAAACCATCTCCAAGTGTTGTTTATAGTCCCTATTGTGAAAAAATCTAAAATGTATCTAAAGACTCAAATTCTTTGACTTTTGGTATAGAACTGATTCATCCTCGGTCATTGCATGAGGTGACCATAATTTAGTATACCTTTTCTTTGGAATAAAGCAAATATTATTCTGTTGTTCTCTGACACTCTCTTAATAGTTATTGAATAAAATATTTAATAAAATCTTTTTTGGCAAACAACTGATTTGACTATATTATTTTTGAATACCCAAAGCTATGGACTATCAACTGGCTGGTATTTTTACCTAAAACGTGTGAGAATTACCTAACAATTGTTGCATAGGCATAATACATTTGCTCATGTCCTATAATCACTTGCATCACCACTATTACTACAAGGAAGTTTGCTGAGTGAGAGGGATTAATTTAAATATGGACATCCTGCTTTGGATTATGCTGGAGTCTTTGAAAGCCTCTCCAGCCCTGCCTCTCAACCTCATTTTGGTATATGATAGTATCTGTTTCAATATGAATAATTGGTTGTTTGGGTCTCATAACTGAGACTCAAATACTTGGATTTGCACAAATGTTGAATCATCAAGTTAATTTACATCAATATAATTTATAGAAAGGAAGTAAGTGCCAGGTGACTGGTGAAAAGAAAAATTCAAAAAACTATATTCAGATGCCCCAGGGTTCAGAACAGAATAAGTTGATACTTATCAATATTTTTTATTGACTTTGATGAATAACTAGAAAGATAACATTTGCAGAGGACATATAGTAAAACTGAGTTGGACAGCTAGTACATTAAATGTAATCCAAAATTATATTGATAGATTAGAGAAATGGGCAGAAAGTAACAATTAAATTTATTTGAAAAAAAAATCACAGTTCTTTACTTAGGAAACTGAAATTTATTATACAGGAATAGCATTAGATATATTTGTCTTGACAACAGGATTTAGGGAAAAAAATATTGGGATGATAACTGAATACAAATGAATATAAATCAGCAATGTGATGTGACTGCAAAAAAAAAGTCAAATACAATCTTAGACTACTTCAACTAAATCCATGTATAGTTTCCAAATCATAAGAAATAATAGCTCTATTTTATTCTATATTGGTCATTCTTCCTTGAGTATCATGTCAAATTTTGGACACCTTGTTTGGGTAACCTGGAACATGTTTGAGAAAACAATAAGAATTATCAGAACCATGTTAAGTTCAATGAAGATATATTAATCGAACTAAGAATGTTTAGCTTTGTTTAAAGCATCAGCATTGTAGTTAAAACTTTGTACGAATACATCAAATTACGTTAAATGGAAGTTCAGAATTTGGGGGTTTCTTGAAATTTTGAAAGTGGAAGGCTTTTCATGCAGAAGTTGAACAATCATTTCCTGAGGTTAATTTGAATGTCTGAACTTAGCCGGAATTTACACTCGTAGATATGGTCTTTTCCACCTCATCTATAAAAATATGGATTTCCATAATTGTTTAAACTAGAAACTGGATAGCCTATGGCTAGCCTTCAAGAGTGAGTGGCATATAAATAAAATAAATAATGGCAAAACTGGTCAAATATAGATTCATTTCATTGTTACAATGCAGTGTTCTTCTCTGTTTTATGATAGACACATCTAGATATAACCTGCCTCTGATAACTCTGCTATGGCAAATAGCTACTGTATTACCTATCTTCCATTCATTTTGCTTATCTCATCTCCAAGCCAACTGGTGACTATTATTACAACCAATGGTAATGAATTTTATATGTGATATTGCATCATTTTCAATTCTAATCTCCATACTGTTAAAATAAATACATAAAATTTAATTAAACTTCTTCAAAAGCATCAAGCAAAAATGAAATTTAAGAAATAACAATACTATTCAAATATTGGAGTTCCATAAATTCTACAACTACCATTTTTATTTAATATCAGTATAATCTTTGCCTAATGCGGGTCTAGATTGGAAAGGCATTTGCAAGATTTACAATTTTATTTTTTTTTTCTTTTAGTTAAGCACATATGGCTTAAATTTAGACTAACCATTTAAACCAAAAATAATTTTTGTTCAGAATATCACTTTCAACTTTATAAGTGGTCAGTTCCATGCTCCCTTGATTCTTCAGGAGATAAATAATTCACTTCAAACAACAGAATAACAACAACTTTTAACAGTAGCAGCTTGAAGACTAAGAAGCATGGAATAACAATGCAAATGCAAACGATAACAGGAATATAGAAATTTGGTTCTACCTTTTTGCACTTTAGCCATGCATATTTATTAATTCAATTTATTTTATAATAAGGGATAAGAGCCATATTATATCATTTTCCAGTGTATGTACTTAGAATCCCCAAGTTAACCCTTGAATGGTGAGTCTTCCCGTGTTGTGCTAAGCCAAACAGCTCACAGGGATTCATCCAAACTGATTAAAAATATCCTCTCCACCAAATATCATTGCAATGATGAAAAAGAGAAATAAAGCTATTTCATAGAGATACTGTGGAGAAGTAAAAAATATAGATATTTCTGTGGAAAAGCAAACCAAACAAATCACAAAGCAATTGTAATACGTTACCTATGTTGATAATCATATTTTGCATGATATATTATAGTACCCCTTCCTAGTTCATTAGGACAATAACAATTTTGGACAATTTCCTCTCCCAAGGTCTCCCAGTAAAATCACAGATGGTTCTTTGGTTCCAGGTCACTGCTATGATGGCAGCAGCATCTTGGAGACAGGAGGAAGAGAATGATGGATGCTGCAGCTTTCAATTCCTCAACTTAACCAACATACTAATAACTTACTTCATCTTCAGATTTGCTTTCATGTTTGTTGAGAACATTGTTGTTCACGCTAGTTCTGGAATAGTCACAGTTGGCAAGATCAGAGGGGAGAAAACTGCAGAGAGAAGGATTTGGGAATAGTCATATTGAATATATTATGGAAATGCTGTTATGACATTCAAAGAGGTGAGTTGCTTTCTGGATTTTGTTTGGTTGATGTAGCTGATAAAGTCAAGCATTCTTGTAGAGAATATTTTATTTACAAAATCTGCTTCTTGCAAACAGGGTCTAAACATCCATTTATTGTAGAATGTGTGTGTTTGTGTGTGTGTGTTGTCACACTCTGCCTAGATAGAAGCCCATGAAAACTCTAGTAAAATTGTATTGAATTTTCTACATTTTGCAGAGGATGGAGTGGCTTTAATGCCATCCAGAAAAAGAAAGATGGCTGATTTTGAATGTTCCCTATAACATTTATAGTATGTAAGCATTCTGCTTAGTTCTTTAGGCAAGCATATACTACTGATAGGGAAAACTAAATATTTCGGGGAAAGATTGTTCTCACAATGGAAAGCATTGCTTCCACTCCAATTATTTATGTCTGCTGAATCAAACCCTAAGTCTTTAGAGACAAAATATATCTTAAGTGAAGAAAGCAAAGTGGATGGAAAAAGAAATGGATACATTTTACACAGTACTAAGTGCATCAGAATGAATGAACAAAGTTTCTGTTTCTGGTTCCCACATAATTTTATGTGTACTCCCTACACATTAGCTCTCCACCATCCATCTGTGAATTTTAACCACATTTAGTCTTGCTCAAAAAAACCCTGCCATTTTAGGTTTACTAGCTTGTAACTACAGTTAGACTTGGTTACAATTTCTAGTTTCTAAAAACTGAAAAATGGCAGCTACCGTGATTCAAGTGACCCAGACCCCAGTGATAAGGGAACAAGATCACAGAAATAGAAATATTAACTTGATTTTCTGATTTTATATAAAGACAGCCTTTGTATTGGTAGGTCTGCTCAAGTAGTCACCTAACACTCAGTCTAGTTTTATGCTGATATATTCTTGTGCTGCAGACTGAATGGCTAATGTATGGTGATACTGAATTCTGCAAAGACATTGTTTAATACAAATGCTTGAACAGATTCCATTAAGATTTGAGAACTGGATGGTGCTAGGTTCAGCCAGTCAATTAGCTATTGATAATTAGCTCTGTCTCAAATACCATGTTGAAATTTAACACAAAGAACTTAGTCCCTGGCATTGTAGCTGATATATGTTGATGTTTTTTTGTTTGTATTTTGAATGCAGCCAGCTTCTACAGTTTAAATTCAATTAGATTTAATTATTCCTCTCATGAGCCTGCTTAAGCCATAGTTAGTATTGAAGACCATGACAGTATCAGAATAACTGGAAATGGAATTTTTCATTTCTTTTTATCCACAAAGAGCTCTTGGATATAAAGTTGTACATTTTTTATAATGCACTTTGGAAGGTGTAATCAAGCATATGCCGCTGTGTACAAACTTTAATTCCCTGTGGGAAACTTATTTCTTCATATCATTTTTCATCCCTTTTTGCTGAACATATAATATCCTGCAGCCATTTGCCTCATTTGGAACTCAGATTGCATCTCCTATTTACTAACAGAGGAGTAAAGAGTATTTTGACAATCACATAGTTATTTCATGATAAACAGCAATATCAGTAAATATATCAAGAATGTATAGAATTATTACAAAATAATAGATAAAAGGGGCTCTGTAGAAAAGTCCAAGGTTAAGTCTTCATACAAGCTGAGTTTACTAGGTATCTTTTTGTCAGTTGTTACCTCAGAGTCCAACCTATATTATATAATTATTGTTTTGGAGGTAAAGTAGATGACCACATATACACTTTCATCTTCTGAACTAAGCTCTCCTGAATTCAATTAGATTTATTCATAGGTAAGTGTTTACTGTATATGATGATATCATGAATATTGAAAAATAACATTTCTGCCTCAAACAAATTATAACCAGATAGCTTTTTTTAAAGTTGTGATTTGTATTTTATTTTTCTGATGACAAAGTTACTTTACATGCTTGCAACAGTAACATTTGGTGGTTTGTATCTCCCAGTCACGAGTTGTTAAAATCATGGAATTATTTTTGAACCTGCTACTATCTTCCAAAGAACAATTAATTTTCATGTGGGAACTATTCATACAATGGGAGTTATATTTCATAAAGAACATTTATTCATGATGCTTAAGGTCATACTCCTCAAAAAGAAGATATTAATTGGTAAAAGCATGTTAAAAATTAGATATTTAAAAGGAGCTCGATGGGCTACATAGAAGATCTTTTTTATGACTGCTATATATACTACTATAGCAGTCTTGGGGAAATACCACTGTACTGATAACATCTGCTGTACCCTCAGTTTAGCCAATGACAGTTGTATACCATCATAAGTTCCTCTCTCCAATATCTCATAAAGCAGTTTGAAGCTAATGTGATCTTTTGTACAGAACATTATGTACCCAACTGGGCTCCTTTATTTTGACTAATAAAGACCAGAGGAAAGTCATTTGATCATTACTGCATTGATTATTGTTGATGTTATAAGGTAGACCTCGACTTAGGACCACAGTAGGACCTGGAACTAAATAAAGTGAGTCATTCCCCATTTGATCCCCATTTTTTTGCCATAGTTATTAAGTTAATTCAGCTTCCTCCATTGATTTGGCTTGTTGGAAGCCAGCTGGGGAGATTGCAAGTGGTGATCACATGACCCTGGAAAGCTGTGACCATTGTAAATGCAAGTGCCTGGGTGCAATCACATTGCTGTGGGGATGCTGCAACAGTTGTAGGAGTTAGAACCAGTCAGAAGTCACCTTTTTCAGCGTCATTATAACTTCCAACAGTTATTAAATAAATGGTCATAAGTCAAGGACTAACTGCAGACTGAAAGGGAAAAAAATTAAAACTAAATCTCATGCTTATTTCACCAGAACAAAAATTGTTATTGATTATTTTCCCACATGCTTATGTTGCTTACATTTATCTGATTATACAAAAAAATGAAAACTGAGGTATCTTAATTAGATGCTTTGAGGGAAATCATCAGTAGATACTGTACATCTTATTGATCGTGCCTCATTCATCAAGAATTGGTTGTGCAACCAGAGAAAGGACATTCTTGATAAATGCACTCTGACCATGAAAGTATTTCCATACTTTGCAAACAATAGAAGCCAGCTAATTGTGCATTTGTTTATATCGATTTTCAGTTGAATATATTCTGTCCTCACTAATTTTTTTAATATATTTAGTTTTATGGTCTTAATATCATATTATGGTTTTTTGTTTTGTTTTGTATTCCTCCATAGTTTTGAATTATGGTGATAATCAAGAATTTTTTATAAATAAGTATGAAAAATGCATGAGTTACATATATTTTATGTTATGGGGTATGAGTTGCATATCCTATTAATATCTTTTCCAAATTTCATTTTTTATGATTTTAAACATGATATTTCATCTGAACATATCTAAGTAACTTGATTTTTTTCTGGATTTTATTTTAGGCATTTTTTTTTTTTACTTCTCTCAGTCATTTAGTTTACATAGTACTGTAAATCCTATAATCTGCTTCTCTGTCACATGGCTAGAATTAAATCGGAAAAAAGGAAGAAGAATTAGAAGAATCAGAATCAAAAGAATCATGAGAATGAGGAGGAGAAGAAGGAGAAAAGTCTTGAAGGATTCCAGTACCATAGAAGAGATTATATGAAAAATACATTTACTTAGATATTAAAATTGTCAATTCTACTCACACTTAGGAAGGAATATGGCCAATTAATCTGAATAGGGTTTCCTTCTCAGAATACTATGCTTCATACTGATAATTGTCTAAGCGTATATAACCTGTTTACAGTTTTATTGTTAATAGATTTACTGTAGCTTGCATCCACAGCATCTAAATATTAATACCATAGCTATTATGCATGATTATAATAGCAAATAATTGCATTTATAAAGAATTCTCACTTGGCCATACTTAAGTGTAGATTTTTAAGAATTAAATTATTTCTTTTATACTAATTATCATGATTTAATTCCATATTCAAATAAAATAGCATTCCCTTTTTGCCACATTTCTTCATATATATAGATTTTAAGCAAAATTTTAAATAGCTAAAAGAATTCCACAGAGTTTGTATTTCTCCTTTTTGCTATTCTATTGCAAAAGACTATAAATTAAATGAAGGCTTGTAATTTTCCATCTATTATTTGCTAGAAAGAATAAAGTCATTTCTCATATAACTTGCTTGACAAGATAATCTTCAACATATAAGAAAAATTGTCTCCCAGTTTCTATGTTGTATTTGTTTCCATTCTACTGTGCTTAGAGCAACTTTTTCCTACTTGGATGCTATTCAGATACGATAAAGTATATCCCTAGCCATTGGAGAGATCTGATTTGTATGCTAAAAGATTGAATAAGTCTGTGTGGTGGGTTATTTTATAGACTGTTGTAAACCTAAAGACTGGTGATTAGTGGCAAAGTGAGGAGCAGGCACAACAACAAGAACATGAGTTTAGAATATTACAAATAAATCTTACTTTGAGCTACTGTTTCCTCCCCAAGTTTACTCTAAGATTCTAACAAGGGTGCTGAGTAATTATTGCTTTCTGCTTCACAATGGGGTCATCTGTCCATTGAGACTGGGCCAGCTGGGAAGCTAAATTTAGAATGATTTAGAGTTGTTTCAAATCCACACAAATTCCCCAAGGACCATCTACTACAGTAACAATTTCCTAACCATGCCTCTGCCTGTATCTCAGTATCCACTGAAAGCTGAGATTGTTTTAAGATTTTTCGGAATATCCTGCCTCACGTTGCTGTGTGCAGATAGTATTGTTCACATTTATGTGCCTTGAGGAAATGGCTTCACACGATGTGTTCCATGCTGGCAATCTGGTGGTTCCAGTTTGGTTTTGCCAATTTCCTGTGGGACTGCTTCTGGCTCTTTTGGCTTCAAGAAACATCAAACATTAATTTCAGTGCCTCTTTTTATGTGTTGATCAACTGCTCCACCTAGAAAGGCTTATGCATTTTAAATGAGTAGCTTATGTCTGGCTTAACACATAATTGAAAGGTGACAGCAACTTGGCTTCTGTACTTCTGTAGCTTGCCTATCAGGTAATTCCCTTACCAGTGCTGCTACTGTCTTCCTCTTCTCCCATTATGAGGATCCCTTAGTAACAGGGAGGGATATTGGTTGCATTATATGTAAGCTTCAGACATATTCTCCCCTGATCTTGTTTATATTTATGTCTCACTGGATTTTTTTGGGTTGGTTGGTTGGTTAGTTTTATTGTAAGCAGAGTGTTTTGCAATTGGCCATATTCGGCATGACAACCATTTTGTGAATAGGAATGTAGCGCAGGATAGCAGATATTTTGCAATAATATGAACAACATGTTCTAAAACTTCCAGATGTGGCCAATTGTCACTGGCTCAGAAGCCCTTCATAACACAACTAAAGGTATTGCAGTTTGTGGAACATTGAGACAAAAATTGCAGTCATTCAATTCCACATGTATTCACAAGCTGCAATATAGCATTAGATCAGGGATGTCAAACTGCCAGCCTGCAGGCCAGATAGCAAAACCCATTGCCAGCACTGGCAAAAAAGTTGCGACATGTTATGACACATCATGTGACATTGCAAGTTTAACACCCCTGCATTAGATAGATAGAAGTGGGATTCCATCGTAACTGTTGCAAAGCTCTTAGAAATGCAAACATCAATTAATATTCTATTTAAGCCTTTGTGAAACATTATTATTTGTCCCTGAAATACTCCATATTGTTAGTACCTTTATGGATTGTACCTTGGTGTTGAAGCTGCAGGAAATAATACTTGTTTACACCATTGGGCATCTACTGAAAATCTTTCTTCTTAACACTAAACTTTTCAACCAGCTGTATTTCAATGGCATTGCCTCTTAGAAGCTAGCAACCAAAGCAACAATTTAAATAATACAAATGCATGGATGTGATGATACCTGTGAAATACATACATTTCAATAACCTCTGGTTTAGTATTGCTAAAATAGTAGTAATAGTTTAATATTACTTAGTATTAAATGGTAATATTTAATACAAATATTAGTATCAATAGTAAGATAGTGTATGTTTGAAATGAAAAACAAATCTGCAAAGCGGCCTTATTTGTTTGTCAGAGATTTTTGCTATTTTTCCTCTTAAGTTCCTTTAAAAAAAGGAAGTATCAGGGATGGAAGTAAGGGAAACAAATCTAAGGAACATGCAGTCAATAAAGGAAACTTAAATTATAGTTGGCACTCTCAAATTGTTCATAAGTATTTAGAAATGCTGGCTGACATTTAACTACACTGTCAGTATTAGACAATTTGCATGCATAAAACTCTGCATGATGCACTTAGGATGTGAATTGATCGTGTTGTTGTCTTCATACAAAAAGAAAACACATTATAAACACCTGCATATCATAAACCAAGCATAACAGTCCAAATAGCTAGGAAAGCAGTTGGTAGGAAAGACTCAGAATTGTCCGGTCTATGATTGCCATTTTCATATATTCATCCATAATACTTAGTATTACTTTTATCTCAAAGGTTAAGTGCTGATATAAAACTTGTGACACAGCTTTATGAGAAAGTTGTACTTATATAACCAAAAATTATGTGTGGGAGTTATATTTTGCATCTTTCACTCATCCTTGTAGAATAGGCCCTTGCTGATCTTATTTGGGCTTAAAAGCTAAGCAGGGCAAGGTCTGCTTATTTGATGGGAGACTTCTAGAAAATCCCAGAGTGGTAAGCATATCTAGAAAATAAAACAATAACCAAAAAGTTCTAGAAGGCAGTACCTATGGTACCATTTACACATTCTTGCCCCCTGGCCCTACACAGATATAGCTATACAGAATAAGTACAACTTATTCACTTATTTTTTAAAAGTCTTCTTGTCTATCTTCCCTTTTTTCCATTGTGGCCCCCTGGCTACAATTTACATAGTATTGCTTATTTGAAATATTAACTATAGTTTTCCGAGAAGTACCATTATTTATTAAGAAGCTTTAGTATTTAAATTTACAATGGAAGTCCTTTAAGCTATGAATTTCCCCTCTAGCCTTTTCAGCAAGATAGGTTTGAAATTACCTAGAGATGAAACAGAAATAATGCATATAAGAGAGAGATAAGTAAGAGAGAGAGGGAGGGAGGGGAGGGAGAGAGAGACACAGATGACTTTATGGTTAAGGTATGATTAGAACTCACATGTTGCTTTAACTACATTGATTTTTCTCTAGGTGTACATTTAATATAAAAAAATTGAAACATCCTGAATAATGGAACTTATAGGCTTTTCCCTCACCAATTCTTTTTAGTTTCATGGACAGATTTAAAACATCTTCTATGGCAGTGGTTCTCAACCTGTGGGTCGGGACCCCATTTGGGGTCGAACGACCATTTCACGGGGTCGCCAAACAACGCAGTCTGCCATTTTTTCCCCCTTTTCCTTAGCTGTGCTACTCCCTTTTATTCTATTGGCTTTTGAAAGCCAATAGAATAGACTCTCTTGAATAGAGTCTAATTCTATTGGCTTTCAAAAGCCAATAGGAATTGTCAAGGCTGTCTCTGCCCTGCTGAGCCCGCCAAAAGTCCCATTCTGCAAATGGTGCTGCAAGTTGTCTGCAGCGAAGACGAGCTGTCTGGAAGTTTTCACCCCTCCCTGCTGAGCAACTACTAAAAATGTAAGTAAAAGAGGGTCAGGGGTGGGAGGTGGGAGGCCGGCGGGTGCAAGTAGGGTTGCTGGCGTGCGTAGGGCCCGGCGGGTGCCTTACCTCCCTTGGGCTTGGCCAGCTGGTGGCCCAGCCAGTGGTCGGCCTGCACCATCTCTGCCGCTTGCCAGCTACGTCTCAGCTGGCACAGAGGGCGGCACCACACATGCGCGGCACTCCCTGGCAGGGAAAGTCCTCGACTTATGACCAGTTGGGTAGTCTTCAACTTACGACCAGTTGGGGGTCACGGCATTAAAAAGGTTGAGAACCACTGTTCTATGGGATCATCTATCATAGGGTTCATAGCAGAGATAGACATGCAGTGTTTAGAAGCAATAACCCTCCCACGCATAAAAGGCAAAATATGGAACAGGGCAAGCAAAGACTGACAAAGCTAGAACTCAAAGGATCTATAACCAGGGAGAAAATCTCAGAATGTGCCTGAAATGGTGAAAACAAAGAAGAGCTAGAAGAAGACACAGTTCTGTATTCTAAATGGTGGCAGAGTGAACTCCATGAGTTTCAGCTGCTGGATATCTGGGCAAGAGAGCGTTAAAAAGAGAAGCTGTTCGTGTTGTGTCCTGAGCCTGCAAAAGTAGGCTCAGGACGTTGCAAGGTCCCTGGCATTCCGGAAACTGCCCGGGACCAGATTGAGCGGCACCAGCCTTGTGCGCATGCGCAAGGCGCGAAAGCGCTCCCTGATTCTTGCCATTTTGCCTGGGGATCTGATCAGATAAAAAGAGGCCTATGTGCCTTTGCTTGTTGTTGGTGTTTGGCTGAAAACGAATAAAAGTGCTGTTTACTGCAAGATGTGTCTTCATCATTCGCTATTGATTGAAGGACTTAACAGTTATCATTTCTGAGCTGGTAGATAATAAGGTAGCATGGTGCGAAGAAGTAAATAGCAGTGAAGCAGTTTGTATTATAAGTAAGAATTGTTTTGTTAAGATTTAAGCATTAAGCAGGTAGCAGAATATGTACTTATGCTAAAGAATTGTTTTGTTAAGATTTAAGCATTAAGCAGGTAGCAGAATATGTACTTATGCTACATCAGTATAGATATACAGTTAGATCAGTGGTTCTCAACCTTTTTAATGCCGCGACCCCCAACCGGTCATAAATTGAGGACTACTCAACCGGTCGTAAGTCAAGGACTACTCAACTGGTGCAGCACTGTTTGCAGAATGGGAATTTGGTGGGCTCAGCAGGGCAGAGACAGCCTGGACAATTCCTATTGGCTTTTGAAAGCCAATAGAATTAGACTCTATTCAAGAGAGTCTATTCTATTGGCTTTCAAAAGCCAATAGAATAAAAGGGAGTAGCACAGCTAAGGAAAAGGGGAAAAAAATGGTGGACTGCATTGTTTGGCGACCCCGTGAAATGGTCGTACGACCCCAAATGGGGTCGCGACCCACTGGTTGAGAACCACTGAGTTAGATAAATACTTTTATGCATAAAATCTTGTGAATACTTTTACACTATTGTAAATTATAGTAATATTACAATTATTGTATAGTAATATTCTCTTCACTTACCAGCTACTTATGTTTGACTGGCTTTTTTCTATCCATTTCCAGCATCTGATAAACACATACAACATAATCAGTAGTATCTTTAACAGAATCAAATTCAAAAGAGAAAAGAGAATAACAGTCTATCCTTCTTAGATATTCTTATCAGCAGAGGAAACAATAGCCAACATCACACTCAGGCTTATTGTAAAGCAACGTGTCCAAATCAAAGTCTGCACTACCAAAGCAACACTCTAATCGCCGTCAAAAAGCAGCTTTATATGAGTGCTATTCTGATGAGCAAAAGCAGCTCCAAAGAAACTGCTCTAGAAACCACAGTAAATTCATGGATCTGTTTTACAAAAGTCCTCTGTAGGTTTTCTGTTTGGTCATAGGAGGGGGTAAATATAAAAAAGTAATGGACATACAAGTACCACTGCAAATCTTTCTTTATCTGCATAGTTCCACCATCTAATGGGGCTTCTTATTGAAAATATCCAGAATTTTCCTGATTTTCCAAAAACTTGTTACAGTAAGAAATTATAAAGCTTATTTTCCTATGCTCTATCTCTAACAGTCAGGACTAGATGACTGATTGAAACAATAGTAGACTGGTTGGTTTTATAAATAATTTAGATCTGAATTTTTCAGCCTGGTTAATTTGTAGAGTAAATTAATAGTAAATAAGTTATTTATGACCATATTTCTATTTCTGGCTTTTTATTTTTTATGTATCCAATTCAGTAGTGTTTTTTTATTATTTTTCTGGTTCTTGGCTTACTTTTTGATTGTCTGATGGTTAGCCAATTTATTGATTTTTTTATGCGCAAAATGAGATGATTGAGCAAAATCTTAAAACCTGGAAGACGAGACAAGTGTAAGACATCAAGCACATACAAACTTATAAGGCAATTATAGAAATAAACTGGGCTACCTTTAAACATTAACATACCAAATGCCACTATATTTCTTGGTATGTGGTAAGTCAAGTATAATTTCTATAGAAAATAAGACTCAAGGCATATACAGTACAAGGTGGGTAGTCTGGTTTGTCGATTTGTGGCTTGACAAGTGTGACACAGAGAAATTTAATTCTTGATACCTGCTCTAATGTAAGATCGCCAAAAAGTTTTAAATATTTCAAAATGTTCAGTTGAACTGCTCTCATGAAAGAGTTGCAAAATTTCTTCTCCTAAAGATGGATAAACATTAGAACAGCCAACTATAATTCTCAGCATCTGAGCCTTGGAAGTGTTTCATTTTGCAAAAGAACAAATATGGAGTATACTGAGTTTTTGCTATTGAAAGCTCTCCTTTGCTACAAGTATGACATTCTACCAATGGTTTGGAACAGGATGGTCTTAAATGGCAATGAGTAGCAACCATTTGCTCCACAGGCCCAGAATGAGATGACACAACTTTTTCTGAGCACTCAGTTAAGCTTTGTTGTCTCTCAGCTACATGAGTTTAACTTCTGAGTGTCTGATTTACAAGTGGATGAATCAGGAGGAAAGTATGATGGTGAACAGTGGCGTCTTTCCTCTCCACCTATATTCTATTACATTATTTTGAGTCATTCAGTACCAAGCAGACTTACATTAAAACAATAATTGTGATGCATTCACAAATTACCTCATCTTACATTTTATATGCCAGCAGCTCTATGCAGTGGACAATTAAACCTCTTAAATTTCAGCCCACATCCTTAGTTACAAGCTAAAAAATTAGCAGCATATTCTTAAACTGAATGCTTACCCCAAATGAGATGGCAAATTTCCTGGTTATCTGTCAAGCAAGATTCCTCTAAATTAAATCTCAGGCATGGCACAAAATTCATGTAAATTTTCAGATCCAAGCTGACTTGAATCAGAGGGTAATTGTTCACTTTGCAGCTCACTTTGTAGCGCCCTCGTCATTAAGTTAATTCAATTCCTATATGAGCATGGCCATTGGAAGAGTTATCTGAACACAGATGTAGAGCTTTTTACTGAGCAAGGAAGTCAAAACATTTGCTTGGATTTCTGTCATATTCATCTAATAGGAAAGTAGGAACAGAGTTGAAGGGCTACAACTATCCCAGTAGCAGTTATTGCATTCGCCTGAACCCCCACTAGAAGACTCTGGTTCTATCCCACCTGTTGGGTTAGCTAGTCCATCAGGGAGTTATGTGGTCTGATACTGGAACAAAACATTGCCTTATAGATGGATAGTTTGTGGAGCTCCCAGTGGTCAATAGTCATTGTTTGGATCCTTGGGTATAGTTGTTGTAGTAATGGGAAAAAGGAAAGAGTCAAGCCACTAGGTTATCTCAGCAGAAATTATTGGATAGCTGTCTCAGTTTGGCTACTAGGCTTGAAGTCAGCTGAAGACTTCTAGATACATGATGTTACATAGCTAGATAAGAAATAATTATATACTCAGATGAAGTCATATATCATTTTGTCTTAGAGTAAGGATACAAATTAACTTACATCCACAAGTCTTCAAATACACTGCCTTTTTTTTCTGTTGCACTTCCATTCTTTGTTATAGGTTTTATGACCTTAAAAATGAGAAGTCATTGACTGACCTTAGCAATATCCTAGAAACCACTGGCTCGCAGATGAACTCTCACAGAATAAAATGAAAGGTCCTAAGAGGTATTAATAAGCATACTGAATCTAATCTACGTATGTGCAAATGAAGCTTCCCATGCTTGCCTGCCTTTTCCTCATCCACTTGCCCAGAGTACATAAGTTGATTTTGGTTCTTCATGCAGTTCATGGTCCTACAATTAAAACTGGTGAAAAAAAGGATAGCAGTTTCTTCAAAATATGTATTTGGATTGCAATTTGTGGTATTTTGAAATAAATTGTTTTTTCTTCACTCTGATAATGTACAGCTTTCACATCCAAACATTACCATTTGGCAAATCATTGTCTCAACTATTCTGATACTTCTTGTATAAATATTGTCAGACTTTATAATTTATTTAAATTTGTCATTTCCTTTTTAGGATTAGTTACATATTCAGCATACTATTCACCCTGCTTTCTTGAGCCTAGGGCCCTAGGTATAGAACTAAGTGCTCTTACAGAGAGAAAGAGATACCCCAGAAAATAGTGTCTCAGTACAGGATTGGTCAGGATATGTAAGATGTGAAGGTACTCAGTACTGAATACATAAATATAAAAAAAAATAGACCAAGTAATAATGCCATAGATTAGATTACAGTAGAATCAGTACAGAGCAAATTGTGGTGGATCTCTTAGCACAGGTTATTACATCTAAGATCCCTTCAAATTCTTCACTTTTATTTTTCCAAGGATATTAGGGGCTGGGAAACATTCTATACAAATATCCAGGGACTGGGGAATTAAATTTAAATGCAAAGTGACAACTATCATTTAGTAAGTACTGAAATCTAGTGAGATGAAAATCTGTAATGGAATGAAAGGATTGACAACTTATCTAAATGAATAGATCAGATAAAAGAAGGGAAGACTGGCATCATATGTGGAAGAAGTTCTCATATGTATTGAGATCCAGGAATTTGAGCATGATTTCCAATTAACAGAATTTGGGTGAGAATACTAGGGAAGGGAAAACAATGAAGATATTATTGTGTAGGTATTCTTTGTATCGCCAAGCTAAGCAAAAAATCTGGATAGTGTCTTCCCAGCCCAGACTATAGCATATACCCCAGAAGAACAACATCCTTTGTGGACATGGTCCAGTTAGTAAATGTTCTTCATAAAATATGGTGCCTAAACCTGAAAACAGTATTCTAGATTTTATTTGACTAGTGCAGAATAAAGAGGACCAATAACTTCTCTATAGTAGAGCTTAAGTGAATTTTCTTTATGAAAGAAATTAATGCTGTTCCTCAGTAGTTTATAATTCTTGCGTATCTCCTTTCTTCAATATATGTATGTATGTGTATATATATATACACCCACAAGCAGTAAAAGCAAGAAAAGAGGAGTCATCAGTATGGAAGCCATATTTAAAAAGCAGTTAAATGAATTAGGACCTATGACAAGATCTAAGAGCCGTGTGCAAATGATGGCTCACCTATAAAGGCACTCTCCCACAGACCAGCATTAACCCTGACGATGTCAGAAGTATCTGACGAAAGCTTGGTGATCGGTGATGGTATTAAACTTTTATAGTTTATTATATTCCTGGTGTTCACGTTTTATTGGTAATTGACTATATATATATATATATATATATATATAAAATAATATATATATATATATATATATATATATATATATATATATATATATATATATATATATATTCGTGTTTAAGAAAATTAAAAACGTGAACCCTGGGAGTATTCATGGTGAGAAATAAAATGATCACCAGGGTAATAAAAACTATAAAATTTATTAAAAAGCGCCTAGCTTTCGCCGTCACCTGCCGGCATCCTCAGGGCTAGTGCGCCAGGGAGTGAGAGAGTCACTTTTATAGGTGCAACAAGGTCTGCGCACGACTCCTCGACCTCGTCATCGGGCCTGAATAGAGTGACTGCGCACGGCTGGTCTGTTCTTTTCTATTCATTTCAACTGCACATTCATCCTCCTCCATCCTTCTTTCCCTCAATCTTAAGGTGGATGGGCAAATGTCTCTGTAATTGCAATAGTCTCTATGTTTTAACCCTTCTCCACCGGGGGCAGGTGGCAATACACATTTCATGTTTATTTTGCGATCCTCCTTCGTCCCATTGTTCTTCCTATGGCAAGTTTTTCTTTTGGTTTTGATGTTTTTACTTCTTATATGGATGTCGTCTGGGTGGTCCTGTGGGTCCTTTCGGGGTAGTTGTAATCCACTGATGGTCTGGGGCTGGAGGGGAAGCCGTTCGGTCACAGGGGGGGGGCGGCGATTCCTCAATCACCCCTGCATCCGGCCGCTTTACGCGCGCCGCACCATAATCATGCAGTCCGGGGGGGGGCAGCGACGGAACCATGTCCTCGCTCTTCCCCCTGGGGCAAGCACCATCCAGATGATCCCACAGACCCCTCCCAGGTGGTTGCAGCTGGTCGATGGTCCGGAACTAGAGGATGAACCGCTCGGTCGTGGGTGGAGGGGGGCGGCGGCTCCCCGGTCGTCACTACGCCCAGCCGTCCTGTGCGTCCCCTACTGCGGGTAATCGGTCCGGGGGGGAGGGTAATGATGGAATCACGATCTATTTGATCCTCACAGCGTCCCTCCTCAGCTTGTCTCCTCCCTCTTGCGTCGTTGGTGGCTGTACAGATCCTCCGGAGTTCTCTGGGATGCGCAAGCAGGGGGGATGACAGTTCGATCTCCTGAGTTCTTTCTCCTTCTCCAATGCCATTCAAGGGTCCGCCTCCGATCGTGCTCTGCGGTTCCCTCCCTCCCAAACCGGTCATCCTGGTCTGACAGGGGGATCTCTCCTTTCCTTCCGAAATAGCCAACGCATTTTCTCCCATATGCGGATGGATTGCCGTATCCAAGGGTCTCTCCCCCCCTCCAACCGCAATATCTTCCTTTATACTGGTCACAACACCTCGGGTATCTGTGGTATCTGGGTTCTGAGTTTTGATTCCCACAGTCCCTTTAATCCTTCGGAGCTGTGATGGTGTTACCGACATGGTAGAGGTGTTTTCCGGTTGTGTTTCCTCATTCAGATTACTTTGGATCAATTGGGGAGTTGGTTCCTCCTCCTTAGTGCCATTAAAGTTGTTATTGGGACGTCGGGGGTGCTGTCCTTGATTATTTGTGCTCCACAACCTTAAAGCCATATATGCCGGGCACAGGTCCACATGCCGATTAATAGAATTGTCATCCGAGAGCCATGCCTCCTTAAGTAGGCGGCCCCCCTTGGTGTTGTCACTAGTCAGTATGCTAACCTCACTGAAATTGAATTTATGGTCTAATTTCGCCATGTGTGCCCATATCTGGGAGTGTTGGTCTCCCCTTTTCACTGCTAACTTATGCTCATGGACCCTGGTTTTAATCCGTTTAGCTGTCTCCCCAACATAGTTGGATTGGCAGTCCATGCAGTTGATCTTGTAGACGGCTGCCGATCTTTCAATGTTGGGGAGTGGGTCCTTGGGGCGCATTATAGCTGCCCGCAGTGTTTGGTTAGGTCTATGGGCCACTTGTATCTTGTGCGGTGCCAAAATCCTTGCAGTGGCCTCTGAGACATTGTGAATGTAGGGGAGAGTAACACGTGTGGTTGCCTGAGGTGTAAGTCTTTGGGGTGTGGGGTCACTCCGGGGTCCAGATGGTTTATTGAACCGATTAATGAACTTGGCCAGGTACCCATTATGTTTGCACACCTGGAAGAGATAATTTCTCTCCTCTCTCTTAGCTCTGGCAGTGCTGCAATGCGACTCCACTCGCTTAAATAGAGTCCTGACACAGCTGACTTTATGGGCCATGGGGTGATTACTCTCGAAGTGTAAAATCCTGTCTGTACATGTGGATTTTCGGTATACCTTAGTAGTCAGACATCCGTCCACCTGGCACTGCACTAACACATCTAAAAACGCTAAACTGCCCTGGTGTTCCTCTTCCATGGTGAACTGGATGTCTGGGTATACCGAATTCAGGACGTTCATGAAGTCAGTCTTGTGCCGCTCCTTGATGACCACAAACGTGTCGTCCACATAGCGGGCCCAAAATTTTGGTTGATATTGGGCCAACGCTATGTGTTCCAATCGCTGGAGCACCACCTCCGCAATCACACTGGAGATCGGCGACCCCATAGGAGTTCCCTTAATCTGTTCGTATATCGTGCCCTGGAAGGTGAAATAAGTGTTAAGACAGACTCCCATTAATTTTATGAGGTCTTCCGTCTGAAGGGAGTCTTGGTGTAATCCTTGGTCTCCCTGATTCAGTCGGTCCCTTAAAACCGCAATGGCAAGTTCCTGCGGGATGGAAGTAAATAGGGAGACTACATCGAAGGAGACCATGACTTCATCTTTTTCCACCTTCAGGGCCCTAATTTTGCCAAGGAACTCCTCTGTCGACCTCACAGTAGTGTTGCTGTTATCCGTCAAGTGGCTGATGCGTGTGCTCAGCCACTTAGCTAGTTCATAAGTGGGTGTGCCTCTGAACGCGACGATGGGGCGTAGGGGGACGTCAGGTTTATGCACCTTTGGTAAGCCATAGAATCTGGCAAGCGCTGAATCGCCAGGGCATACCTTCCTCAATACGTCCTCCCCCATTCTCCCATTGCGTTTTAGGGCATCAAGGAGTTTATTGGTATAATTCTTTAGCGTAGTGGAGGGATCTCTATTGATTATTCTATAGGCAGCACTGTCTTGAAGTAGTTCCAAAGCTTTACTTACATACACCTCTTTATCTAAGACAACCGTTGCTCTCCCCTTATCAGCTGGAAGGATGACAATAGTGTCATCCTTTCTAAGCTGGCTCAGGGCTACTTTTTCCCTTGCTGACAGTGTTTGGTAGCGTTTATGGCTCATGATAAGGCTTGTGACCTGTTGCCTGACTAAGTTCTTAGTCTCCTCTCCCGCTCCCATACGGAGCAAAGCAGGCTCTAACGCTGCTACAAAATCAAGTGCGCTAGCGTCAGTAAGATTATGGCCTGTGTCTCGCTGTAACAGGGAGAGTTGTGACTGGCTTAATACTTTAGAAGATAGGTTGTGTACTACTTTTCCCGGTGGGATATTATTACGAGACTCACGTAGCGTGTTCATTCTTTTTAGGAACACCTCCGTCATGCGCCGAGTCATCTGGGTCATGGTTTGCCGGATATATTGGTCTAGCATCATGAAATGTTGGTTTCTCAATTCCATGTTACAAAAGTCTTGGTGTTCTTGAATCCGTGCCTTTAGGTACCGTATCCTCCTATGCTGGTCATTGATTAATGCGTACAGCGTACGTCGTTGGAATTGGCGAACTGCTCGCCAGCATTCCAAGGAGTCCACCGTTGGTCTTCTCCTTAATGATTTCGGTGTTAAGTTCTCCTTAATACATCCATGGAGGAATGCTAGTTTGCAGTAGTTGGCTGATACGCGTCGTGCAGACTTCTCCCACTTCCTGGCTCTAAGCAAAACTGCTCTATCATATTCGCGTTTAAGAAAATTAAACGGTTGTCTTAGGGTTCACGTTTTTAATTTTCTTAAACGCGAATATGATAGAGCAGTTTTGCTTAGAGCCAGGAAGTGGGAGAAGTCTGCACGACTACTACTGCAAACTAGCATTCCTCCATGGATGTATTAAGGAGAACTTAACACCGAAATCATTAAGGAGAAGACCAACGGTGGACTCCTTGGAATGCTGGCGAGCAGTTCACCAATTCCAATGACGTACGCTGTACGCATTAATCAATGACCAGCATAGGAGGATACGGTACCTAAAGGCACGGATTCAAGAACACCGAGACTTTTGTAACATGGAATTGAGAAACCAACATTTCATGATGCTAGACCAATATATCCGGCAAACCATGACCCAGATGACTCGGCGCATGACGGAGGTGTTCCTAAAAAGAATGAACACGCTACGTGAGTCTCGTAATAATATCCCACCGGGAAAAGTAGTACACAACCTATCTTCTAAAGTATTAAGCCAGTCACAACTCTCCCTGTTACAGCGAGACACAGGCCATAATCTTACTGACGCTAGCGCACTTGATTTTGTAGCAGCGTTAGAGCCTGCTTTGCTCCGTATGGGAGCGGGAGAGGAGACTAAGAACTTAGTCAGGCAACAGGTCACAAGCCTTATCATGAGCCATAAACGCTACCAAACACTGTCAGCAAGGGAAAAAGTAGCCCTGAGCCAGCTTAGAAAGGATGACACTATTGTCATCCTTCCAGCTGATAAGGGGAGAGCAACGGTTGTCTTAGATAAAGAGGTGTATGTAAGTAAAGCTTTGGAACTACTTCAAGACAGTGCTGCCTATAGAATAATCAATAGAGATCCCTCCACTACGCTAAAGAATTATACCAATAAACTCCTTGATGCCCTAAAACGCAATGGGAGAATGGGGAAGGACGTATTGAGGAAGGTACGCCCTGGCGATTCAGCGCTTGCCAGA